TCTGGTGATGGTGCTTTGATATAATGACTGATTTGATCTTGTGCCTTTTTCTCGATCATGTTTAGAATGTGAGTATCTCTTAAATTGATGTGTTTTATGTTTATTTTTGATTTATTTCTGCTAGTTCAGAATGTCAGGTATACAAATGTATGTGTATCGACAGGATAATCAAACAGCTGGGATTCAACCCCTTTTGAATTGAATTCATCAAACTCATGATTTTATACAATTGCAGGAACCCTATTTACAAGGCCAGTTCTCGAGTACATCAGGAGAGTCTCGTCACAGAGTGTCTAGGGAAGATAGCGTTGAAGGAACTGGGCCATGTCGACAACGCTCTGTTCGTACGGGATCCAGTCCTCACCCGTGAATTCAACAGCTTTGCTCCCGTCGAACCCGGCGGACTGGGGCTTGTAGTCGGGCGCGTAGCCCTTGCCAGGCTCGCCGACCTGGATGTTTTTGAGCGACGGCATGCGCTTGTGGAGAATGTCGGCAATAGCCTGCCCGCCGCCCACGGCCGAGGAGCAGACGAAGCGCTCCCCGTCGGCCCTGCCCGGGTTCATCGCCGCCCAGAGCGAGACCCGCGCGATGTCCCGGATGTCGATGGTGTCGCCGTACACCATCATTGGCCCCGGTATCTCCTGCCCCGCCACTACCTTCCAGAAGTCGCTGTTGGAGTAGGGGATCTGGTCGGCAGACGCCCAGGGGATCAGTGGCGGCCCAATGAAGTATCTGTGGCGTGCATTAGCTTCGATCCCCTGACCCGATCTGCGATAAAGAAAGAAAAAGAAGGATTTTAGTTGGAGAGATGGGGAAGCTGCTCACGTGGGCAAGAGGCTTGTCATTGCGAACGAAGGTTTCCTCTCCTCTCGGAATTTCCAGAAGAGTTTCTCTGCTGCCGTCTTGCTCGCGAGGTACGAATGAAACCCGCCGGCTTCATCCCCCTGCTCGTGAACGATGGCTTCGGATGTTGTATTCCAGTCATTTTCCGTATATAGCTTGTTCTCGAACGGCATGTCGAATACTGCGGCAGTCGAGGACATGAGGACAAAGCTTTGCAAGGCGCGTCCAGCCCTCGTTGCCGAGTCTAAAACGCTCTCTGTGCTCTCTAGCGCCACCCGCATCACCTCGGAAGGGCGCACTGTCCAGATCTCATGAATGGGGAAAGCAAGATGGAGGATAGCATAGCATCCTGGAAGCATCAGTCAGTCAATGTCTCTCTCTCTCACGCACACTAATGGTTCTGGCATGTGGCTCTTCTTCATACCTTCGAAAGCGCGGTCCAAGGCACCTCGTTGACACATGTCTGAGACTACCACTATCTCAATGTCGTCTGCGCTATAACCAAGGCCGCAGAGGGCCTTCTTTGTCCTCAGACCTGCCTCCTGGTTGCGAACGGTACCGCGGACCCTGAATCCTGTCTGGAGAGCCAGCTCTGCTGTGCGGCCAGCAAGGTACCCGTTCAGGCCCGTGATCAGGACGGTAGGCTTGGAAATCTGCTCTTCGGCTGTCATGTTTTCTGTATGTTGGAGCGGGGATTGAAAGCGCGTTGTAATGTACGAGTGGCGAGGGGTTTTTATATTATACTGAGATCTGGACTACTACTTGGGGCTTGGCTTGAGATGCACGCTCGTGTGTATGGCCAGGTTGGTTAGAGAACACTCCAGATGAGGAGAACAGGCGTGCGAGAGAGGAAAGGCGGGCTCGATCAGTTATTTGGACATGGGAATACTTCCGAGGTAGCGCACGGGTGCACGTACCAAGCCGTAGTGTTGGGAATGGGGGTTTGCAACTTGCAGGGCAGGGAATGAGCTCTTGGTGGGCAAGTTGCAACGGCCAACAGCATGATCGTCGTCAGTTCGGCAGCCAACACGCCTCAACCCCATGCTCCCATGCTCGGTTAGGTATTTTCCCCATGAGCCATCATGTCTCCCATCATGGCGGGGGACATATTAGGCTTATCACGAACATTTGTGCGGGATGGGGCATGAGTATGTATATACGAGTAAGGTCTAAAAGAAATTGGCCTGCACTGTCCTTTTTACAAAAGGCCAAAGAAACGGAATCAAGACCTAATCCAAAGGCGTGGATGAGATTGAAATGCCCTGCAAGCTTCCCGTAGTATTTGATGCTACTGTGGATGTGGACTAGAGGCGTGGAGCAACAAGCGAGCGAGCTTGCCGTCGCATGTTCCATGTAATCAGCCAAGTGCTTTTAGGAGGTGACAGGATGAGACGGGCCCGACGGAGTGCAACGCTGATGCACGCTGATGGCTTGCAGGAAGGTCTGATGAGTGGGTGGAAGACCCGTTGTCGATTGTTCCGGAGTCAGTTCCGCGCTTGGCTGTACCGATATGCGAAGCGAGCGGTCACTTTGGGTTAGCCGGTGTCTAATTATCTACATATGTATTTACTATTGGATACCTATATTCCATCGCGGCTTCTACGTCAGCTATTCGAAATCAGAAGAATAAAACACTCGAGGAAGGAGTCATCTGTACAGAATCCACAACGGCATTCTCAATTTTGTCCCCTTTTTTGAATATAAGTTTTCGACAGGACAGTATCCGATCTCATGTGATTGTAGCAATCTGTGGCTCTATGAGACATTATTATGTGGCTGACGTTTAAGCTGAAGTACCTTACCGATCCGAGACAAGCCTCCAGACCGATCCGAGGACATTCGAATGGGAGAAAGTGGTCCAATAGCAAAAGTCCAACAAAAGAACCGCGCGTCCCAAGATTTGTCTTAGTTTGCGACTCTAGTCTAGACAATAATGAATATCAGGAGTATGCTGTACTTCTGGGGTGTATATTCGTGTTGAGCTGCTGACATCATTAACGCCGAAGAACCCCGATCATGTCCGACTACCAAGTAGGTGCCTTCCTGACGGGTCTGGCTGTCGTGTTTTTTGTCAAAAGGCCAATCATACATATCACAACATCTGTTCCCCTCCACTCCCCTTCTGGAGGTAACCTACTTATCTAGCGACGTGCGATGATGTTTAACCTAACTAACTGACTTTACCGAATCGTCTCCCACACGGCCTACATTACCTGTTCTTGTCCCTGGCGCGCAGATCTTACTGTTCTGTCCTCGGCAGACGGCTTAAGAATCTCCAACGTCTGCGGGCGATGTATCGCATACGTTGACCACTCAGTATCATCAGAGATTCTAGAGCCACCACGCTGGGTAGTCCAGATGGTTTTCTACCATATGTTCAGACTCAGGTCCTCAGATTGTGCCTTAGCCTGTCAGGGGTGTCTGAGTGGAGTATTTCTGCGACTAGGTAGTGCTGGTCACGACTCACAAGTCATAACTGAAAAGATCGTTCCTCTCTCCCCCTTGAACGCTGCCGGTTACCTCTACCCACACATCACGCTGGCCTTTTCCCACCGTCTTCACAAGTGTTGAGAGTTATATTCGCAAGCCTCGCATGACACTTAACTAACGACGAAGTTGACTTGGAGGTCACACGCCCTTGGCAGTATTCAGTAGATGTTATCTATCCCACTGACAAGTCGCTATACGACCACCTAACATGACTGAGTACTACACCGGCATCCTGAAAGCATCGGATTCTAATTTAATATACTATCGCGCCCCGCCCCCATTACATTGGGTAGCATCGTGTTCAACGGACCGGACCGAGGAGAAGGAGGATGATGCACCCCACCATTGAATGCATTTTGACCTATAATCTAAGATATTCTTTTGTATTGCCTTTTTTGCAAACAGGAGCGTTCAACTGAGCTCAAGTCTACTCGAGCGTGCGCTAGTCGGGTTTCTGTGAGGTGATATATCATATCCGAGGGACACCTTGATGTCGAAACGTGCCTCGACGCTGTCTCTATTTAGAACAGATTGACACATGGCGGTTCGGTTGCTCTCTGGACTTGCGTGCATTTGACGGTTAGGGAATCTGGAGAAAGTTGTCGTCAGCTTCTTGCTTGACGTCTGCTTGAACTGGGGAACCATTGTCAATACATTACACAACGCCTGCAGGCAAGAAACTCAAGCAGACTTGGTCGTACACGGTAACTCGAAGGGTTTTCTTTTTTTAAACCAAAAATATTGTTTAGCCTCGGCCCTTCCTCACCCAGCTCTATTCTATATATTTTCTGCGAAGGGACAGAGTAGGTTGGAAAGTATCTAACCTACGTGTGTCCAAGAATTATCACATCATGCGAATTCTATGCGCCTTTGTCATGCACAGCTGGTACTGTACGTCCCTGCTACAAGGATAGCCCTCCCTCATTCTTAACAGCAGGGAAGAAGAACCAAGGAGTAGACTAGGCGGAGACTTAAGCGCATTTTGCTGTCATCTACAGACTACAAGATTTCGTTGACCCTGTCGGTTGGTTGCAGTTATACTAGGGTAGCCCGCCAGCGTATAATGGGTGATCTAGGGAATGAATAAATACCCTCCTGCTCGACCGAAACCCAACAGCAAGGTGTATGAAGATCTATGCGCCTCTTTAACCCTGCCCTAGTCTAGGTTAGGGGTAGATGGATGAAGCAGGATCCCCAGGCTGCAAGGAGAGCGGGAGATTTACCATACCTACCTTAAAAGACGTTCGTTATTGTGCTCTCTCTCGTTTTGCAGGTGAAAAGAAAATGCCCCCAAGCACAGTGGTGTTTTTCCTCCCTCCTCTTTTTTTTTAGGCTTTGACTAGTCTAGATAGCCCGTTTAGCTTCACTTTCTCAAATACAGACCAACCAACTCTCTAACAAAGGACACATACACAACACCTACACAGCTCCAAGAGACGAGGAACATGCCAGACATGAAATCCCTAAGGTTAGGTTAAAGACAATAGCATATCGTCCTCTTTTTAACTCATTACTCTACCTTAAAATAAGTTTGCAGTGTCTAAATAAAAACACAGCTGTACTAAAAAAAAAAACCAGAACAACAAACAAACATCCTTCCCTCCTCTCAACCTAACCTAGTACTTATATATAACCCATCCAGCACACCCCATCCATCAACAAACACTGGTGAGATGGCCGAGTGGTTATGGCGCTGCGTTCAGGTAAAATTCTGAACATTTCCTTTGCTTTCCTTTCGGAAAATGTGAAAGAGAGAAAAAAATTCGCAGTGGAGCAATCCGCGTGGGTTCGAGTCCCACTCTCATCATTACTTAATACTTATTGAGGAAGAAACTCATAAGACTTTCTCCTCGATCCTTTTTTTCTTTTCTTTTTTCCCCTTCCATTCTCCTATCCATCTTCCGAATGCTTGCTTGCTCCCTCCGTCTTGATTTTTCTTGTTCTCTTAACCCATTCAAGGACATCTCCCACCAGACGTTGCAGGTTTTCCCACATCCGACCAACCTAACCTAGCACACACATGAAAACAACCAACTCCCACCGACAAAACGCTAGATCATGAGCTCGGTAACACTAATACTAATACTAATACTAATATAATACTATTAGCTAGCTTTGCCGTAGTTTACTTACAAGTTACTGTGTCCTCGACTCTCTAGACGTTCGTGGAACTCAATGCTGTGTGTCTCTAAGGATTCGAGGGATATCCCCTTCATGTATTGCATCCCCTACTTGCTCTCCTGTCTAAATCTCATCAAGTTTATCCTTTACCCCATTGGGCGTAGGGCAAACCCGACATCTATTCATCTTCTTACTTGGTTCCTCATCCCTCCTACATACCTAAAACTCATCGTCACGAGTATACTTGACCCTCATCATGCCCGGCGTTGGAGTACTGGTATGTATATATCTTTGGTTATTATACTACATACACAGCAGAACTGGCTTCTCGGACTTCAGAAAAATACATCATTCATGTCATTAAATCGAATCAATTCAGTACCGCCTATACTCCATGTGAACTGTGAAGGATGCCGTAAAGTGAGAATGCCAGAAGCAACCAGACTGGCGGAGAGTAAAAGGCACACCTAGGAATTTACCAAATATCGACAGAAGAGCCAGTCCGTTGAGACGCAGTGGTCGAGCGGCTCCATGCTCCAGACAACCCCTTCAGATTCCTACAAATTATGCCATTCCGCAATGATTATTTTAAGACAGCCGGGATTTGTTGACGTCGGAAGGAAAGCGGTGGCATTCATGATGATGCGCGTCTTGGAAGAAGTCTGCCACGGTGCTGATCTCGGCGCACCTGCCACATTCGAGTGTTCACTACCCCCGACACGAGAGTCGTAAAGGGAGGCGTAAACAGCTTATCGGAGCTGGCAGTGTCTTATTTATAGAATTTCTTTGAGCTGTTGCTTTTGTTGAGGCGTTAGGCTCGTCGGGAATTTGACGTTGTACTTGACAACGAACTTTCCTCGCTGGGTGCCCCCTGTCTTCGAGATGGGCATGCCCAGTCCTGGGTATGCGTCTGAGGTGCCAGGTCCGGTAGGGCCGCTCTTCTCGATGTTGAGCTGCTTCCCGTCTATCGTGGTCACCGTCCGCTTCCAACCAGTGAGGGCCTCTTTCAGATCCAACTCAATCGTGTGGATCAGGTCGTCGCCATCACGGACATATAACGGGTGCGGTTTCTGGCTCTCGCGTTAGTCTTAAATGTCACAGGCTGCAACGGAAAAGTCCATGGATATATCAAGCACAACTCACCTCCTCCACGATGAAGTGTAGATCTTGCTTGCCACCCTCTTCTTGGTCACCGACGCCCTTGAACTTGATCTTGCTGCCCTTCTTCAAACCAGGCTTGATAGGCACTTCTAACACCTGATCGCTAGTCGTCCGCTTCCCAGTCTCGTCGTAAGTCTTCCTCTTGATCTTCATCTTTTTCGTGATGCCGTTGAACAGCTCCTCTAGCGTTAGCGGCAAGGCACGTTCAACCGTCGTGACTTCGGGCGTAGAATCTCTTGCAGCTGATCCTCTAAAAGCGTCACCGCCTGGAAAGCCCCGAGGTCGGCTCGTTCTGCTGGCACCGCCTCTAGGTATTTCAAAACTGGTGCCGAACATGCCGGGGAACGGTCCATCGGAATCGTCGCCGCCACCACCGCCACCACGCATAAACTCGGCAAAGATACTCTCGGGGTTGCTGAAGCTGAACGCGCCGCCGCCGCCAGGGCCGCCGCTTGTGGTGAAATGGAATGACCGCGCGCCGCCGCCAGGCATGCCACCGCTGAAGTCGAAGCCTTGGAACCCACCAGGCATACCGCCAGCCGCGCCAGCAAACGGGTTCTCCCCAGGCGGCGGAGCGGCGCCACCACGCAAGAGGAACTCGAGACCGTACTGGTCATATATCTTGCGCTTCTCAGGATCGGAGAGGATTTCGTAAGCTTGGGAGCAGTCTTTGAATTTCTCGGCTGCGTTGGGGTTATCCTTGTTCTTGTCCGGATGCCATTTCAAGGCGGCTTTGCTGCACCGAGTGTCAGTCCAGGCGTAAAGCCTCAGAAACGTCCGAAGGCAGGGCAGGCTGGGACTTACCGATACGCCTTCTTGATCTCATCCTGCGTCGCATCAGGCTTGATGCTCAGCTGGTCGTACAGCTTCGTCTCCTTCACCATCTTGAAAGAGGTGTAATGAGGGAATGGAAATTAGGAAAGTAAAGGTGAGGGATGGTTTGGTTTGGGTAAAGTCGGACGCAGTGCTTCCCGAATATTGATAAATGTTTGCTGATTGCTGATATGCAGATCAGGCCTTTGTGGTATCAATCGTCGTACTGTTATTGTTGTTGTTGTTGTTTGTGGTTTGTCCACTGTTGTTGAGGGACTGTAGTGTATTGGTAGGCGTAGGTTAGGTAGATATTACGGGAGTGGACTGTGGATGGTGTGATGATCGTGCAATGATCGTCCAATGACACAGCGAGGTAACAGGAAGAAGGTTCCTGCAAAAGGTACGCCGGTACTTTCACTAAATATCTAGGTAGGTCGGTAGGGCCTGTTAGGTAGAAGATTCGCGAAAAATCGGAAGAGCGGACAGGAAGGAAGTGGTGATGAAGGTGAAAGGTGAAGTAGCAGAAACTGGTGGAGGTTCAGAGGTGAGTGACGTTATTTCAGACGTTAGTATCTATCCTGTACCAGTGGTCCCTGAGAACTACTCGTTCTTGCTAACATAACATAAATGTCATGTCAAGCCTTCATGAGCTAACCTTGGGAATGGCAACACGGGGAAGAACTTTGGATAAGGTGAAAAGAACTTCCTTGTCCTTGGGCTTCTTTGTGCCCTTCACAGCAATTCTGTGAATTGTGATCAAGCGAGATAGCCAGGGTAAGTTAAAGCAAATGGGTCAGAAGGAGAGCAACAGGAAGCACATTTCCACTTGGAAAGTTGGAGAACCGCCCAAAGAACACCATGACGCCCAAACAACTTGGTGGGGTCGCGGGGTATTGCACTTACTTTGTACTTGTCCGCACTACAGCTCGACCTAGTAAATAGCTTAGTCACCTAACTGTTGCAAGGAAGGAACGTGGGAGGATATTAGGTTAATGAACCTCAGCTAGCTTCTGTTATATAACTGTCTTCATACCGACAGCTGACCATAAAATTAAAATGCTATAAGTGAGGGCCATGGCAGGATTTTGAAGGGTACCTCTACATTTTAATCTGTCCAATGTTGACTGGCATGTACCATTGTCCGACATGTTTTTGTTTCCTTTACCCTAGACTAGCTTAACCTTAACCAGATGGAAGATTCTCGAAGCTTCCATGCGTGCATACCTAACTCCCAGCAATAATCCATGAATCTTTGAAGGCTGTAGAAGGGCCATGCATGTACCAGAGCCATACCTCATAGCGAGAACCTTATCATATCCAAGGCTGTCCTGTCAACACAAACTTGTTTGTCACAAATCAGCAAATACCTACTTTGTACACAACCACCACAAAGTGAAATACCCGTCATTGCTTCATTGCCATACTAGTACAAACAATCATAACTCATTCGGCTGTGGGTATATCTATGTTTTCCGCCAACAAGGAGTAGAACGTAAAACGTAGAACATGATACCAAGTCCTTAAAGGTATCCTCCAACCAGAACAGAGTCTTGCCCGCTAATCACCAAACTTTTTAAGCATGTAAGTATGTATACTTTTGAGTACAGCTCGAGTTGCCTTCAGCCTTGCGTTGCATCTTGCTCTGTGTCCAAGTCCATCAGTTCGATTGGATGTTGGGCCGAACTACCTGGCTGGCCCAGGAACGGATTCACTCCGCCCCTCCGCTCGCTCATCTCTGGTGGCTTGTTCGATATCAGGTCAGTTTCCGCATCTTGGCCGTCATCATCTCGCAACTCCCTTTGATCGCTTTCGGTGTTCCCCGCATGACTAGACTTTTCGGTCGGTGGTACGGCCGATGGCTTGAGTGCATCGCCGTAAGTGTGTGACCGAAAACCGGCTTCTACACCGAGCTGTTCCAAAATCCCCTTGCTCCGGAACTGTTCTTCCTCGTCAAATGTGAAGTCAACGTCGTCTAGAGCGCTTCGAACACTGCCGTTGGTGGCAATCGATGAGCCGACGCTGTATTTTCGCTTCCCCCGCGTCTCCGGCGGAGCATAAGCGGCGAGCTGGGACAAGTTCGCCGCCGTAACCCCTCCACTTGGCTCATCTTGCACCTGCACCTGCGCCTCTTCGATTGGGCCGTTGGCTTCCCTCAGACTGGATTCTTCAGCCAGCTCCTTTTGGAAACAGCGGTTATCATATTTGACAAATGTCTTCACAGTGTGTCAGCTATCAACCACGAGCCACGGATGATCAAAGGTCAACAACAAACAACTCACCCGTAAAGCGTCGGGAAGTGGGATTCGCTCTTGGTTTAAGGCCACCTCTGACGCATATACCAGTATGGGATTCCTAGACTCCGTGCCTGCTGCTTGCAATACGTCATCAAGCGTGACTTTCTGCGCATCGTTAGTACCCTATTGACCCAAACTTGAAAGGGGGGTTGTAGCCTACTTCGGCTTTGATAGGTGAGGCGTCCGTCTTAACATATCCTATTTTCCACCATTGGTCTCTGGCCGTTGTAGTTTCTGCCGGGTCGGGCTTATCCCCTTCGTCCCGGACGCAGACATAGGCAAGTTCGTGTGTTGTCGCAACACCGCGGAGCAGGTATTTCTGCGACGGATTCCAGTATTCCGGACGGTAAGCATCGGGATTAGACCGGAAGACGAATAAATCATCGTCAGCCTCGTCTTCTGTGCAAGTAAGCCGCTT